TTGCTGATTTGAAAAATAACCGCCATTTTACCTGCAGAATTTTCTAGATCTTACAATTCCCTCTGTTTGTTAATTCTGGCAATTATGTTTCCTGTTATTCTGTTATTACAAGGGCAACGATGTCGTGTCCAAATTCAGCATTTGTTCTTAACATGCTATTACGACACTAAAGAGTCCTGGGTCCTATGATAGCTAATACCCATACAGTAGTAAGATCCCCAGCTTGGGTATGCATGTCTGTTTCTCATGGTTAGGGTTGTCTAGGATGTACTGTACTCTGTGTGAGTTATTTAGGCCTCGCAGACTCGGCACAGTAGGTGACCGGATGGAATGTAATGGAGCTGTCTCATCAACAGAACATAATGTGTGTGTGTGTATAAATGGGTCAATGCATCACAGAAATTATGTTCGCCTTCACCACCCTGTAACTTTCCACTGTCTAGGTAAGACGCAGGTTTGGACCGTGGTGAACTGGCGCTCTCGGGAGGATAGACCTATTCAGCATTTCTATGTAAGCCCGCGCAGCGAAACCCTCACTCTTCGATCGCTCACATCAACTTATATCATAAGGACGTGACCTACTTAACTATAATACACACAAACGCCGTCCCTTTCTCATTCACTCTATACAGTGGGACTTACGGTCGATCCTCTTGTCAGAATTATATATACAACCAACACATATTAATAAAACAAGGGAACTACCGTTTGGGTTTCGTTACTAACGATTCACTCTTCACCCTCATCAACCACATGTATACTCCCTTTAATTTACCACCTTCTTCTCTCCCTTTTCACCTCATCACCGTTTCTTCTCTCCTCCCTTTCACCCTCATCACCGCTTCTGCTCTTCCTTTCACCCTCATCAACCACTTCTGCTCTCCCTTTCACCCTCATCACCGATTCTGTTTTCCTCCCTTTCACCCTCATCACCGCTTCCCTTCTCCCCCCTTTCACCCTCATTAACCACTTCTGCTCTCCTCCCTTTCACCCTCATCAAGCACTTCTGCTCTCCCTTTCACCTTCATCAAACTGTATTCTCCTTTGACCCTCATCACCGTTTCTTCTCCTCCCCTTTCACCCTCATCACCGTTTTTCTCTCCTTTCACCCTCATCACCTTTTCTTCTCTCCTACCTTTCACCCTCATCACCGTTTCTGATCTCCTCCCTTTCACCCTCATCTTCTTCCTCCCCTGCTCCTGTTTGCTGCCTCTCGCATGCATCTTCACGGTCATTTTCACACATACATTTTTACTACATTACCAAAGGTCATCAACCCTCCTCTCTTCATTGCTAGCTATAGCGTGTCAACCCCTAGTGTATCTCACGCCTCTGTCAGCCTCGCCTTCTCTGTACCGTACATTTATGCTGCCAATATGTCTCTCTCTCTCGGCTCTCTCTAATCATTGTACACATTTTTACAACTACATCTTTCACTGATATGTCTCTCGTGTTTCTCCTCACCAGTCCACCTCTTTTCTCTCAGTTTGTCTATACTTGCATCACATTCGAACATCCGCAATCCAGATATACAACATCTCTTCTTGTGCTTTCATACCTGAAGTATCAAACTTTTTGGGCTTATAAACAGAAGGTATTAATAGAAAGTCAAGTATATATACAACCAATTATTTTTTCTCGTTAACTCATGAAGGACGGGTTCAGTAACTCCAAATGACATAAAACATCTCAAACACAAATTTTATATGATATGTGTGTGTGTTGTGTTGATTAAATCTCCTTAGGTTACATCCGGTATTATTAACCCTTCTTGGAAAACACTTCACACATGTCCTGAACTAAGAAGACCTCTCAAACAGACCTCCTGCAGGTTGGAACTGCGAACCATATCCCTCTCCCTTGTGCCATTGTTGGCCATCTTCCCAGACCGGACCACCCGACTGTCATCGTCCACAACAACTCACGAGCGTTTTCGGTTTATCGAGCATTAGCTTGCCCTCTCCCCACTGGTGGTGTGGTGACCCACCTCCAGCTGGAGAGAGCAGTTATAGCGCGATATTCCCCGACGTAGTTTGAGCTCTTTTCCTTCTACTACTATTTTTCCTTTTCGCTCTGTACAAAGGACACCTCAAAAGTGTATTCGTCAGAACTCCGGGAGAGAAGCTCAGGAACCACTCTACGACCACCAGCCAGTGGGGAGTGCTGAAATTCCTCTGCTACTTACTCAACCGGAATAGGTAGGATTAAAAAAAAAAAAAACGGTTATGGAGCGCGTACGCCCTCCTAACCGCGACCCCCGCCTGAACCGCCAACCTGACGACCCGAACTACGACAGGCTCCGCACAGAGAAAGCGGACCAGTTACGCGCCTTCAATGAAGCCCTGAAAAGCAGGAACACTGCCACCACCTCCAACAACTCCACCACCACTACTACCGCCACTGAGGACGACAACTGGACGAAGGTAGAAAATAAAAAACGCCGACGTGCCTTTTCGGGAAACGAATGCCGTCAAGCAGCCCAAAAGGCACCCATCACCACCACCAGCTCACCTCCAACGACACTGCCAAAATTCCGGATCACGAAAACGGACACAAAAACCTCATATGCAGCCATCACAGAGATAGAAAAGCAAAATCCACTGGCCAAGTTCTCAGTGCGGCCCAACCTAAAGGGGGAGATGATTATTCACCCCAAAGACAAGGACTCTGCCACCACCCTCGACACTTACCTGCAAAACACCACCACCGTTGCACCAACCAAGCTAGACCCCGCCCAGAAACTGATGAAGTCGGTAGTCCTCCGGTACCCAAAGGAACTGCCTCTCGAACCCCTGGAGAACCACCCGAAGATCTTAAAAGCCGAGAGATGCTCTCCCCTGTCCGACAAGACGGCCACCACCAAACAAGTGCTCATAACGCACTACGGCTCACCACCCAGCACCATAGACCTCAAAACCTGGGGGATCTACGAAGTGAGGCCCTTCGTCCCAGAGCCCCTGCGGTGCTTCAGATGCCAGAAATACGGGCACCATCAGACAAGGTGTACGACTGTACGTACAAGGAAATCTGCGCAGTCTGCGCACAGAAGCACGGCACACACTCCTGCCTCACCAAGTTGAAAAATGGGGAAAAAATTGCCCCCAAGTGTGCCAACTGCGGGGCAAACACCACGCCTGGAACCCTGGATGCTCCGAGAGGACAAAGAGGGTCCAGGCAAACCGACCAGCAGCAAGACCGGCCCCCACCGCCTACACACCAGCCCCACCAAGTACCTTCGTGTGGGGAACCCAAAGGCCAAAACAACAAAGCCAACCTCCTCAGCCGGTCAACACCCAAAGTGCAGCCCAGTTTCCTGGCCTCACTACGGCCACACCTCAGCCACCCAAGCAGCAGACAACGACAACCACGAGAAAGACAAAAGAAGCACACACCAAGGCACCAGAAGGAATGATACACGTATCAGACCTAGCCAAGGTACTGACAACCTTCGCGGAGGGCCTAGCCGGACTACTGGGCCACAAGATCCAACCCACACAGCTCCAAATACTCATGGGGAGCGTCCTCGGGCAAGTCGCCACAGCTCCAGCCACCTCAGTGGAGGAAGCCACGCCGGTCCTCACACGAGTGACAGCCGAGGTACACTCTACACCGAAGAAGGCCACCAGAGAACCCAAGATACCGACAGCTCCCAGAAAGAAACTGGACGTTTCAACTCCCCTGAACCGAACCACGGCCCAGAAGGCAAAAACCACAGAACACGAAGATATGAACCTGATCCAGTTGGAATCGAACCTGGACATCTCCATCGAGGACCACCAGAAGTCCCCGATGAAACAGTGGTGGAAAACATCAGCACCCTGAACATCCTAACATGGAATGCTCATGGCATCAAAAACAAGAAACACCTCCTACAAGAAGCAGCAGCCAAGGACAAGCTTGACATCATACTGCTACAAGAAACACTTCTACAAGAACACCACTGTTTCAAATTCAGTGGTTACAAGACAT